CAACTATCAGTTACCCTCCCTCTCCCTGCCTCTTTTTCTCTTGCCAATGTCTCCGTTTCCTTTTCTGGGAATTTTTATTTATTTATTTATTTATTTATTTATTTATATTTTTTGAGAGAGAGGGGCAGGGAAAGAGAAAGAGAGGGAGAGGGAAACATTGATGTGTGGTTGTCTCTTGCGTGCCTCGTACCTAGGACTTTGCCCACAACCCAGGTGCCCTGGTTGAGAATCAAACCGGTGACCCTTTGGTTCACAGGCCTACTCTCAACCTACTGAGCTACACCAGCAGGGGCCTTTCCTGGGAATTTTAATGGTACCCGTCACATAAGATTGTTATGAGGATTAAACAATATGTATGAAGTGCATAAAACAATGACTGGCATAAAGTAAGCAGAAATACATTTTATCTACTCTATTTTCCCTATATGCAGCATATTAACTAATCAACAAAAATACGTTGTCATTTCTAATTATTCCAGGGGATAACAAGGATGCTCAAACACTTGCTAGATTTGTTTAGATGTTCCCATTACTGGTATGTCTTGAAAAAGATAATCAACACTAATAATTTTAAGGCTGTACATGATGGCTCATGTTCACTATCTCTGAGTCAGAACCCAATGGGATTAATGAAACCTGAACTCCTAAGAAAATATTAAGGTAGTGATGGATACTGAGACACTAAGAACCATTACCTCTGTTAGAAACCTTCAAACTGAAAGTAACCGAATTGGACACCAGTTCTCTCCAGTGAAGAGAATTCACAGGGAGGGTGCTAGGAGTTCACACTGTTGCTGGGCTGCTGGAGGACCCAACCTGGAACATAGGCCAACACCAGGGCAGCGCTGCAGGGAGCGAGTGGGGTGCTTTTGGCAGAACAGCTACCCCTGCCACTAGGAATCATGCCTAACTGTCCCTAAGCGTTTGCCAGTCACCGAAGGACCAGAGTCCTGGGTGGGACTATTGGATGAACTAAGCCCTGGTCACATGACCAAGGCCTGGCTCCAATGAGAAGAGCAGGAAGAACTGGCATGTTGTTGCTATAATCGGAGCTAGTACCTTGTGCTCCATGGAGACCTATGGTGGGTTATGCCAAACAGAGGGAAATGTTTGGATGACAGACAGCCATAAAAAAATGCTGACTTTTTGGACTGTCAGTCATAGCAACAGGAGACTGGAGGCCACCTTGTAAGGAGTTGTTCAAAAATTAGGTTTCACCAGGTAGTGGCCAGTTCGGTGGACCTCGTACATTAGAAAGCCAAATTCACATTCCCTCAGCCTTAAATAAACTCTGCCTTTTAAGTAATTAGCCTTAAAACTGTCTTTAGTAGCACAATAGTTTGAATCAATTCAGAGATTAGATAGACAAATAGTAAGATTGTATAAGATTTTAAGTAATTATTAGTATAGTAAGACAAATTGGTCATTGACAACTTTGACACACACATGAACCAGTCACGCTATCTTCAACCACAAAAGCCGTGCTAACCATCACTTCAGTAACTTCCCATCTGTAGTCTCCTGGAGCTGTACCAACTGGGTAACTCAAAACAACAGAAATGTATTCTCACATGGTTCTGGAGGCCTGAGGTCAGCATCAAGGTGTCCTCAGGGCTGAATCCCTCGGAGAAGGCAAGGGGAGAATACACTTGAGACCTTCCTTGGCCTGGGGTGCCGCTCTCCAGTCCCTGCCTCTGTGGTCTCATTGCAGCCTCCAAGTGTGTGTCCTCTCCCGTGTCCCCGGTTTCTCCCTCTGTCCTCTCTTTTAAGGGCGCTTGTGATGGCATTTAGGGCCCACCCATATAATGTCCTCATCTCAGGACCCTTATGTAATCACACCTGTCATTTCAGGAGAGGGGAGGGAGGAGGGAAGATGAATGGGGAGGGGACGAAAGGAGGAAGAAAGCGAGAAACTGTAAAAATACTAGAAGAAATATGGATAAATTCCTCTATAATCTGTAACTGGGGGAAGATATTCAAAATATGAATCAAAATCTAGAACCAATAAAATACTGATAAATTTAGCCACAAAAATGAAAACTGTTCACATGTAAAAAAAATTAAAATCAAAGGTAAATAAGCTGAGATGAAAATGTTTGCAACTTATATCACAAAGGACAATTAACAATACTCATTAAGAGTTCGTGAAAAGAATATATACCAGAAAACAAGAAAAATGGGTAAAGACATGCACATTCACAGAATGAGAGGAAATGGTTTATAAATATCAAAAAGGCCTTCAACCTCACCTCCTCTCTCTCTCCCTCTCCAAAATTAAAGTGGAAGAAATATTTTAAGACAACAGCCTTGCAAGCTGCACAATGTCACGTCTCACACATACTGTAAATCAGACACAGGGCCAACCCAGATTCAAGGAAAGAGGAAATAGACTCTACTTGGTTAAAGAAAACCGGCAATGTAACATTGCAAAATAAAGCATGTGGGACGGGAACTATTGTTACAGCCATCCTTGGAAATGTAATCTACCTACCATAAAATGCAAATTGAAACAATAAATATTTCTCACCCATTAAATTCACAAACATCTAGAAGCTGACAACACACTCGAAGGAAACAGGTACTCTCAGATATTGCCAAGTGGGAGTATGGCTCAGGGCCGATGAGGGGGAATTTGGCAATATTATCCTCTCACACAGCAATTATAGTCCTATTTCTACCTCCATGAATAGGATATCTATATTATACATGCTCACTTCATTACCTTCACTTTTCTTTTTTGGCACCCACCAGCACAAGCAGGGGGAAGCTGTGAGTTTCTTTTAAGTGAATTAACGGCATCAATTGATATGCCAGCAGCATCATGGCTGGCCTTATATACCATCTTACACTCTGAGGACCTCAGAGTATATCAGACAGAGGGTCTGGTTTTGCAACAACTTGATCAACATCTGCATGTTTATGCAGAGATGAGCTTCAGCTTCTAAGTCACTCATAAATTAATATTTAATGAAATCATCTGCCTGGGTATTTCTTGTGCTTTCCTGTTAACCTCCTGAATCCTTCATATTTGGTGTTGCACCTCACACTCCAAAGTCAATTACAGACTCACCAGGATTACCACACATATCCTATGTACATCTGAGCAAATGTAGCTTATTTCTCTGTAACTATCCCTCATAAGTCAGCTGTCTCCAGGCCAAGGAAAATCTCTTTATCATTACTTATTTGAGTTACAGGTAGTAGCTGGGGAAATCATATTAGACTTCAATCAATGTTAATTTCAGAGCTAAAAATGACCACTAGATGAATTATTTAAAAACAAGAGGCAAAGAAATTCACCATTCATACATTGTTCTTGGAGATATGACCTCAAAGACAACACAGGATGCATTATAGCATTTCAAAGATCATTTTTGAAGAACTACATGAAATCAATTACCCACAGAATGAAGGTAACATGATGTATACAGAACAGGTAACTTGAATCATGGGATTTCTTATACATACATGTGTAAAATACTACTGTAAGAAACACTACTGTATCTTGACATGTATAATGCACACCTTTTTGCACAAATTTCTGACGGAAAAAATAAGGGCACGCATCATCATGGATAGTACTAATTCCATATCCATATTAATGTTTTTAATTCTTTTATTGATGCTTATGCATTAAAAGTGTAACTCTAGAAAGCAATAACAATATTCATGTGCAAAATAATACCCTGGAATATGATAATCAGTTTTGTTTCTAAATACAAATAAAAATTGAATTAAAAAATTTAAAACTAAAGATTTTTATTCCTGAAAGTTTGGGCTAAAAATGTGGGTGTGCATTATACACAGGAGCACATTATATACAGCAAAATATGGTACTTTCTTTCAAATAACCTTAAACAATAAGCTGATAAGCTTTGAAAAACTGTTAGGTGTCTCAAAATGTCAAAGATAAATGTGAAAATAATGAATAGACCTCATGAGTGGAAAAAAGTTAAGTGTTTCATATAATTAAAATATGCATGTTTATTTCACCTCAAAACTATGATCTATACATTCAAATCTAAACAAAGCTGTATTTTTATAATTGCTCTACAGCATATTTTAGGCAACATCCATCACCACCCCTCCCCAAAGAAATCAAGATTTTTCAGGCTCAGCACTACTGACATTTGAGGTCTGATAATTCTGTTTTGAAGTCTGTCTTAGCCTTTCGCAGGAGGTACTAGTACTCCCGTCTCCCCACCCTCACCCCCACCCCCACTATGAAACAACAACGTCTACGTTGCCTAATGTCCACTTGGGGGCAGAATCGCTCCACTTGAGAACCACAACAGACAAATGCTTTGTCAAACTTCTCCAGTTAAGTAACTCCCACATTTTTATGTCCCATTTTCTTTCCAATTATCCAAAATCTAGTTAAAATACAGGTTCCTGTCTGGAGAAAACAGTTGTTTACTATTACCACTGCCCATCTACTCCATTAAAGTTTGTAAAAATAAGACATTTCAGGCAGTTGTTATATACAACTGTTACTGAGGAATAATACTGCAAAATATACATTTATTAAATCCATAAAAGATATAAGTTAAAATCAATCTTCATCAGAACAGAAATATGAGATACACACTAACTGTGCTGCTAGCACTCACCTACACTGATTTTTTTCATTTTGCTCAAGCCTTTCCTTCTCCAAACAGATCTTTCCTCATCCACATAAAAGCAACTTAGAACTACTAGTGCTAATGAATGAGAATATAATTATGGTCAACAGCAGAGAGTTTGATCTCAGAATACATCTAATTTTTATTTTTTGCCATCATCTGGATATGAATCCAGATGCCAAAATTATAGTCATTGCATCTCTAGAAGGTAGAAGGTAGAAGGACAATAAATACAGAATTAGCTGAAGCATCTGGCCCAAGGTTAAATATTCATTCAGGGTTACTGAATGTAAACTGTAATTTTTCCATTTTATCACATGGTAATATAATTGTTTATATCCAAACACAATAAATACAAAATAGAATGCAAAACTCTCATTTCATAGTTTAAAAACAATCTCTTTATTAAACCTTTTACAGTAGGATCCATTTTTTTAAAATAGAAGTACAAAAGAATTCTAGGATTGTCACCAAAGATGTAACTGATGAGCAAAGGTATTGTAAGTTACTTATCTTCAGGTCCCCAAATTCTTTAACTTTTTTTCTACAATAAATTAGAGTTTTTAAACCTTAAGCAGATTGTTTTTGCACTCCCCTTTCCACCAATTTTATCAACTAGGATTCTTGGACAACTGTGGATATTAATGTACTGCCTGGGATTATTTCAAACTACCCTGAACTTTTCCTACACTAATTTTTGTTAAAGGCATTTCCTATTAACCAGAGTTAAAATGTGATCTTTGAACCATTTGATTTCAGATTAAAATTTTGCATAAGAGCCATCTTATAATTAGATAGTTGAATCAGAAAATGAACCTCGATGCGAAGCATGACAGATGACAGCGCTTACCCTTTTATTTTCTGGTTCGACCACAGCTGTCAGGATTCTTTTTAAAGGACACATGTAAATGTACACATATACATTTTAAATGTGGCAGTCTGCATTCAGTAAAAATCAACTCAGGTTTTAATTACTGTGGAATTTTGACAATTCTAGCAATGGCAAGGATGAATTTTATACCGCTGTCATATAGCAAAACTCAAGTAACATTGTAAGATTCCAAATGTTTAAGCTGGGAGAAATGAGAATATATTTCAATTGAGGACATATCATCTAAGAAAATAGTATTGCTATCCAGTCCTAGGAGTTTCTAACCACATTTCTGCAAGCCCTAAATGTCTAGAATAAATGTAGCATTCAGATAATACTATAGTCCATGAAAAGAGTATATTCTTTTATTGTTTTTGTTCATACATGTTAATTTCAAATTTCATCATAAAATTCAATAAATTTGATTCCTTAATCATAAAAACTTGCTTTACACATTATTTACAAGTCACCAGAGCCTACGGCCATACAGAACATCACAAAGACTTGACTCTACATGGTGCCACCGCACAACAGGAGGGAGCTGTCAAGTAACGTACATTCAAAAAGTACCGTAGATATGCACAGTGTGTTTGGCACTGACCACCAAGTCTCTTTTAACAGGCATTATTAACTCTTAGTAACAATGGACCACAACTTGCTATTCACGTCAAAACCAGCTTTCAAACTCTGTAACAGTAATCCTTTTTAAGAAACAAAACCAAACCAGAATTGGGACTGGAATTCAAACCCTCTGACTTCTTGCTATGCTCCAAGCTGCCACTTATAAGTTTAATTTGATAACTTTTCCATTGCGGGGGAGTGTCAAGTAGAAACAATTTAAAGATAATATCCCCCAATAGACATAAACACAAAAAACACTTTAAAATTTTCATTTCTTCTTGGGAGTGCTAAGGAAGCACTTTAAAATTTTCATTTCTTCTTGGGAGTGCTAAGAAGGCCCCGATAATGCATGACTAGTGATAATTTTGGCAGGACTTACAGAATGACCGATGCCGTTCAAGTTGTGGAGATTGTACTAGTAACTGAACTCATGAGAAGTATCTGGAATGCCTGTATCTGAATTCAGAATCTTTAGTGACTTGTTTTAAGGGACTCTTCCTAGGACTATGACAGACTCAGATCACAGGTTGTAGATTTACTCAGATGTGTAACACTACACTGCTATAAAATGGAAGAAAATAAAGTACAAAGACAACTATTAAACCTTTAGCAACTTTGGCTATATTCCAGTGGGTAATTTATTTTACTAATTCACTTTACAAATATTAAATCACTTCAGTTGGGCCCATTAAATGTAATTCATTAAAGCTATATATATTCCAGAATGTTTAAAAAAGACACATATTTATAAAAGGCATAAATTCAGTCTTAAACTAAGGCCCCCAAAACAAGCCTCAACAGAATATGGACCACAGAACAGGGGAACAGAAATAAAAAATTCTCTGGTAAAGCTTAGAGATGTGCTGTAGCTTCACACAAAACTTTTAGCAATAAGCTGACTTTAAAAAATAAAAGTCTTACAATACACGAAGAACTATGAAGTGCAAAGTAATATCACTAAACCAAAATTTAATCATTTTATTTCAAGTATATTTTTAAAATCATAAATGGGGTTTTGTAATCTAAAATTGAAACACTTATTCTTCATGTTTTCAGAATCTGACAAGCAATTCCAGACCTCGCTTTACAAATCTAGTCCTCTCTTCTATTTTTCAGACTTCTGAGACCTGCTAGTTAAACTTCCCCATTCTAAATGTGCAATTTTAGATAACTATTATACACTTGTTGATAAGATTTTTCTGAAAACAGTCCAAATATAAAGAATAGTTTCTGTCCAAGGATCATCAGTGAGGAAAGAAATATGAAACATCTATCAAAAAATTATTCATTTAAAAAATAACAGAACCAGTGCTGTTCTCTGTCATGAAAGAGAACATGTAAAATTAATTTCCTTTTGTAGACTTTGGTGATGTTTTACTACCTACACAGGCTTCAGTCTTACTCAGAGATCTGTTATACACAGTCGCCGTCAGGATTTACCAAGTACAAGTCCTGGGTGCTGCCGTGGTCCTAAACGTGCTACACCAGAGAGGAACAGGTCACTTTTGAGGAAACGAGCTGCCTTGTAACTTCCCTCAAATATTTATTTTAAATAAACATAGTTAATGGCAACATTTTTAACCAACTTTGTATGTTAGCACAGTGCCCACCAAACAAAAAAGAAAATCCAAACCTTCCTTCTTTTTTTAAGAAACTTTCCACCTTTACTTTTAAGATTATAACTTCTTCACCTTATTTGAACTCCATAATACTTATACTCTCGAGTCACACAGTTTGACAATGATGAGATGAAAATGGACGGATATCTGAAAACGGGTGTTCCCTCTGCCCCAACGGTGAGCAAGTTTTTAACATGAACAATGCAGAACTCCATCCCTCTGGAAATCCCTCAAACTTAGAAAGCTTCCATTTAATAAGTCAATATATTATTCTTAAAAATTAAAGTTTGGTCACCAGGAAGGACTGAAAAAAAAAAAAGATTCCCCTCCCCCCCAAATAGTAATCTAACAGCTCTAAACACCCACTCCTCTCCCTAGAAAAACAGGGAAGTAGGTGGGCTGAAGCCTTTAAAGCTGAAATTTCAGCTCCTATAACATCACTGCTATTTGCTTGAAGGTACAAGTCCGTGTACTCCCTTCTCCACTGCTTCCCATTTGTAAGTTTATTTCCACACACACACATGCACGCACACACACACACTCACACACACTTACTCTCAAGTAAGACACTTTTTTGTGTTTGTTGATAAATTATGAGGATTATGAACTAGGTGTGTACAGGGTTTCATAGGTGCTTTGTAAACATCAGAGTCACTTGGGTCCTTTTCTCCAAAGCCTGAAGTCATGCCCTGCGACCAGGGATCACTACTTTCCCAGACGCTGCTCACACGCTGCATACTGACAAAGTGCTGAGAAAAAGTCCTCATATCTGATGTTTAGGTGGGAAGGCAAAGAACTGAAAAGAAAGCACAGGGGGAGAAAGCAATTAGATGACATACTATGATTTGGAGAGGGAACCAGAAGGGTCATGGCCAAAAAGAAGTTAAGGAGAGCAAAAGTAAACTATAGGCATAGAGAACATGAACCGTTTCTGCTAAATGACTGTTAAACTCACGGTGAAACGGTTCAAGTTAAAAACCATTTCTTTTCCCACAAGAACAGAAAAGCTACTTGTAGTGAGACAGAGATTCAGAACCTCTTACAGCACAAGTTTGGACTAATAAAACTGGAGATATATTAATAAAGAATTTCACTCAAATTTACTTCAAAAACTCATCTCTGCTCAAGTAGAGCCGGCGCCACCGGAACAGTTTGTGAAACGCAGGCTCGACACTGGCAGAGCCGCATCGCACCCCTGCGTGCCAACACGCCGAAGAAGCTGTGTGGTGAGGAATCCAAAACTGAACAGTGTTCTTCTCCACCACTTCCAAGTGTTCAAGGGCACAGTCACAGTGTGAAGAGAAGGACTTTAAAGGCAAAGTGAACATACAGTCCGAGGGTCCAGGATTATAATTCTTTGGGCATTCCCCCAAAACCTTAGTAGAGCGCAGGGCTCAAGAAACTCTTGGTGAACCGAACCAAGGTCAATAAACTTTTAATTACTTACATAATCTCAGTCAATCTGATATGCCAGGGAAGAAAGCCTAATGTGCTCTCCACAGGCCCAAACTTCAATACTACATCAGGATCAGGAAAACCACTTGCACCTTGGGAAGAAATACACACAAACACACACTGCTTACAAATAAAATGACCTGCAGCAAAACCTGTTTATCAAATCGGCTTCTCACGCTGCGAGTATCAGTTCTGTTCAGATGCTTACCTTGTATGTTTCCATACCTTCATCCCACTGCCCAACATATACCTCCACATCTATGTTATTTCCAAACGTGGAGGTTTTCTCTAAAGTTCATTTAACTGGACTGATTACCTGATAAAGAGGGATAACCCAACTCCTACCCCAAACCCTACAGGTAGCACCCATCTGTACTCCCCTGGATTCTATTGCTTTGAAGACTCATCTTGGAAGACTCAATTTCAATGTTCCCAGAGCATCCCGGGGACCACATTGCTTTAAGGGCACAAATGCTTACTCTGGTCAGAGGCAAACAACTTCAGAAGAAAAGAAACTTTGAAAGTATCTACTCTCCTTCCTTGCCCCAGGCCCCCCACTTCTATAGCTAAGGGCCCAGAAAGACTAACTCCCAACTACACAGCACAAACCTTCTCCGTGTTCCCCGGAGCCTAAGCCCCTAGAAGAGGAAAAAGGAGACAAAGCCATGGCCATTTTTCGCTTTCAAGCCATCTGTGGCTTGAAGGGAAAAAAAGGCTGGGTGGGGGAGATAAAGATATTTGAACTCCTGTAAAATAAATCTTAAAATAAGTCACTAGTATAAAAGAGGCCATAAACCAAGAGACCCAGGTTTCAACAATTTCTAATAACCTAAATTCTGTCACTGACTTTCTTGTCACACACTAAGTTCATTCAGTTCTTAAATAAGGAGACTACTAGGCAGGTCCATCCAGTAGTAATAAAGAATTATTTTCCTAACAAAGTCTCTTTAAAAGTCCATGTTGGTAGAACACGTATGGATTAAGTAGAACACATATTCCTTTGCCTGCTGAAAAGCAAATCCTCTTTATTAAAAATATAGTAATAATAATAATAACAAGGGACTTCCTGCTAATGTGGTATGAAGGATGTGATAAATCCTCTCAAAAGAAAAATTAAACTAGACAAAACCGATTACTTAGGGGCACTGGATACTAAACAGCAGCAGACTTTTATTCTTTACAAAAATAAAACAAAATGAAAAATAGCAGCTAGAGCTTCAAGTTCAAAATAGTAAGCACCTTGGTCGGGCTTTCCTGCCTGGGAATGCTCCCAACGCTCACATCTCTCTACTCCCAACCCACGGGAGAGAACCGCAGTTTTCCAGCACAGGGCTGACAGTGAAAAGTAAGCAGGCTTGCTGCCTGCAGCCTATAGATAGGGACCCGACTGGGAATTGGATGCTGTGAGCAGGTGGGCAGGGAGAAACGATGGTTTCGCTAGCTAAAAGTAACAAACTCGATGGTTTCGCTAGCTAAAAGTAACAAACTCAAAAGGGAACGAATGAGGAAAACCCACAGCACTGTTCCTCTGAGGATGTGCCCCAGTTAGGGTAAGCAGTACAACAGCCAGAAATTTAACAGGAAGGTCCTGGAAATAAGTGCTCAGATAAGCTCTCACGGATTCCTGGCTGACAGGGAAACTAACTGCACACACAGAGGGAGGAGGATGGGACGAGGGAGGAAGGGTAACTAGTGCAGGGTGACAGGAAAGGCCAGTGAAGTGTAAAAGCCAAGGGGACCTGCAAACTGACTTGAACGCACACACAGATTTAGAAACCTTAGCAACTTAGGGTTTTGAGCACAACCAGTGTGCAGGTTATTGCCTGAACCCTTAAACTATGTGGACACAGAAAGCCAGACTAAAATAGAAAATTAAAAACTGAAAAACAGAGCAGAGATAGCAGAAGTAGCCTTTAAGTACAGACAACACAATCTTGTACTTAAAAAACCCTAAAACTCAACAGAAAACAACTACAAGAACCATTAAGTAAATTTTAGCAAGGTGGCAAGACACAAAATCAATAATAAAAAAATTGTATTTCCATATAGTACCAACAATCCAAACATAAAATAAAGAAAATAATTCCATTAACCACAGTATCAAAAAGAATGAAACACATAGGAATAAATTTAACAAAAGAAATAGAAACCCTATATCTCAAAATCATAAAACATCGTGTTACAGATTTTATTTATTTATTTCTTAGAGACGTAGAAGGGAGAGAGAAACAAAGGGTGAGAAACATCAATTTGCTGCCTCCCGTATACGACTAGGGACGGAACCACAACCTAGGCCTGTGCCCTGACCAGGAATTGAACCAGCCAACCTCTTGCTCTGTGGTATAACGCTCAACCCACTGAGCCACACCAGTCAGGACCTAAAATTACAAAACATGGTTAAAAGACAAATTAGGCCCCAAATAGATCGAAAGATATAGTATGTTCAAAAATTGGAAGACTCCATATTGTTGGCAATTCTCCCCAAACAGAGGTACAGATTCAGTTTAAATCCCTATCAAAAGAGGTCTTTTTTTTTTTAATTTAGGGAGAAGGGTGAGGAATTGGCAAGCGGATCCTAAAACGTATACAAAAATGAAAATGATCCCGAGTATGCAAAAAACCTTTGCAAAAGAATATCCAAGTCGAAGGACTTAGACTACCTGACTTCACAGCACACTGCGGCAGGTTACAGCAGTCAACACCGTGCGGCACTGCAAGAGCAGAACACACACCAATGGAGCAGAACAGACAGCCCAGAAACAAACTTGCAGGTTTACAATACACTGACTTTTGATAAAGGAGCCACAGTAATACGCGGGGGAAAGATTAGTCTCTTCAACAAATGGGGGTGAGAGAAAAACTGGTGTCTTGTACCTCACACCATTCACAAAAATTGGGTCAAAATGAATTACAGACTAAAATATAACAGCTAAAGCTATAAAAACTTTAGAAGAAAATACAGGAGAAAATAATTGTGACTCTGAATTAGGGAAAAATTTCTTAGATGTGACCCCAAATGCATGATCTACAGAGGAAAAAAACAATAAACTGGATTTTATAAAAATTAAATTCTTTAATAAAACCATTAAGAAAAAGGTAAGCCAAGAACTGAAAGTATTTGCAAATCACATCTTGTCACTGAAAAGATTTATACCCAGAATATATAAAGACCCCTTAAAACTCAGTAAGCCAAATAACCCATTAAAAATAGGCAAAAGATTTAAACAAATGACAAATAGCATGGGGAAAATGCTCAATATCATTAATCATTAGAAAAATATAAATTAAAACCACAAGATACTATTACACAGCCATAGAATGGCTAAAACTAAAACAAAAAACCCAAAACTGACAATACTATATCTTGACAAGTATGTGAGGAATCTTGGTTCCTTTATTTTTATTTTTTTGGTGAGATGTAAAATTATAGAGCTTCTTTGGAAAAGTTTGGAAGTTTCTTAAAACTTAAATATTCCCTCACCACATACTCCAGAAATTTCATTATAAGCTATCTATCTACCCAAGAGAAAGGAAAACATGGCCCAGAAACACCTGTGGGTATGGTCACAAGAGCAGTAATTCAAACAAACCAAATGACATCAACCAAATGTGGTACATCCATAAAACAAAGTACTATTAAAAAGTAATAAATAAAAAGTAATAAAAAGCAATGAATTACTAATACATTCAATATGAATGAACCTCAAAAAATATACTAAGTAAACGCAGCAAGACACAAAAGACTACATATTACTCTATTTATATAAAATTTCTAGAAAAAGCTAAACTATTGTCACAAAACAGATCAGTAGCTGCCTCAAGCTGGGGGTAGGGGGAGAGAGATCAACTGCAGTCACGGGGGAACCTTTGGGAGTGACAATATTCAGAGGGTTTGCTTCTGCCAAGTTAATGAGTTAACTTACAGCCCACACACGTTTTCATTAATCATCTGCCCACAATCTCTGAAGGCAACGCCTGGGCTCAACACTGTAGCACTTCTCCAAAAAAAGACAGAAAATGCATGACTAATAACAAAGGTTAGTGAAGACTGTGTGAATGAACGAAAACTGTGTGTCTGAAACGGTATGACTACCGAAGTCATCAACAGACATGGATTTGTTGGAAGTACTGCCTTCTTTCAAAAGGATCAAGGCACAATGCTATGAACAGGAGGACCACAAAGCTAAGGCAAAACGTTCCTACGGCACTGTGGAGAGAATAAACAAACTAAAGGCTTTTACAGAAACAGATGAAGAAAAAGAAATAAAATGTTAAATCTGGATAACGTGACAAATACAGTGGTATATCTGATATACTGCAAAACAAGGAACACTAAAACAGGAGTCACAAATGACAGTAAGGTTATATTCTTGGGACTGCTTCCTAAATAGCTATTAAGTTCAAACTTAACAGAGAGCTCACACTAGAAACAGGGAGGTGAGGGGAGTGGTATTATAGTATAATAAAAAATATGTATTTGGTCTTGTTCCAGTTTCCCACCACAGAGCTCCTAAAACCCCACGAATTTCCAGAGTAATGGGGTAAGAAATCTTTTCTTATTCATAAGCCCCTTTCAGCCATGCAGAGTTTATGTTAACAAACTAACTCTTGGTAGGCCCCTATAGAGATTGAGAACTGAGGCCATTGCCAAAGTAATCAACCATGTGCTTAGAGCGCTGTAACTTTCAGCCACGTTCAGGTAAGAGAGAGGGGCTGGAGGTTGAGCTCAATCAATAAAGGCCCATGACTTCATCAATGGTGCCCTGATAATACAGCCTCCATAAACCTGGCTTAGAGGACAAGATTTGGAGAGCGTCCAGGCTGGTAAACACGGTGAGTGTGGTATACCTGAAGAGGGCATGGCTACCTGATACCAGCACCAGAGGAAGCATTGCCACCCCCCCTCCACACCTTTGCCCTGTACACTTCTTCCATTTGGCTCTTCCTGGGTTGTATCCTTTGTAACAAACCGGTAAACATATCAAACCTTAGGAGGGAGTCACGGGGACCCCTTATTTATAGCCAGCTGATCTGAAGTACAGGTGGCCAGAGAATTGCGACAGGCGTCCAAAGTCGGGGCAGTCTTGTAAGACTGAGCCCTTAAACCTGGCAGAATCTGACACTAACTCTGGGTAGTTAGTATTGGAATTAAATTGAATTGGTGGACACCCAGAGGGTGTCCAGAAAATTAGAAAAATTCATTGTTGGTGTAGGAAAACCTCCCACAGGGAGGAAGACCAACAAGCAGAAGTCTTCTTTTTAAGAATATTCTCCACTCCCCACAAAAATCTTAGGTCTGTCATCTTCTTTCCCAGTAAGTCCTTATGCAGGTGAGTTTACAGCAGACAGTTAGAGAGGGGCATGAGAGCAGAAACGATGGGCCAGGTAGACAGTCACCAGGGCAGAGAGCCCCAGAGGCCTAGCAACTGGGCAAAACCTATAAGCTCTTGAACGTCCATTCCCTTAAGCAATAACCCCTGAAAGATGATATCTAAGCTTCAGCCTTGTTTCAGCTCCAGGACCAGAGAAACATCAACATCAGAGGGAGTGACGCCATGGCTAACATCAGGACCAGCTGTACTGACTAATGACCCTCTGGTGCCAACCAATCAGTGGAGATCACAAAAGGGCACACCTAGAAAGCTGATGAATGTTAAGACCCTCCCCTGAGACACTCAAGAGGGAGGACCAAGAGCAGCTCGAAGAAACATGCCTTTGCCTTTCCTCACCCCCTTCTTTCCCCAAGGGTGTGCTCCCACCCCTGAGCATGCCCACTCCTCTTCTGCCACTTTTGTCCCTCCAGGCACACATCTCTCTCTCTCTCTCTCATCTAAGTTCCAAGGGCCCTTCTACTACCACTGGAACTTTGTAAGTAAACATTTCCTTATACAAAGTCTACCCAGAAAAAGTCCAGCTATTGTTAATCTAATAAGAACAGTTAGTGCAACATCAATGTAACCTGGCACCAAGGCGAGTGGACTGGAATGTGCATGCATGAGCAATGGGACTTCACTGTACTAGTCAGGGAGGGCAGTAGACACCACTGAGTGAGCGTGTACACTGTGTGGCTGGAGCACTCAAAATGACTGAGTGAGTAGATCAATGACTCTGCATCAGATTTTGGTTAAGCCTGAATATTCCTCCACAGAAACTATGGGCATCTGGTAATTAGCAGCTTCATCACAAGAACACGCCAGCTTATGCATCATGCCTCATGCAGTTTTTTGGAAAAATATCAAATCACCCAGGTAACTCAGCCCCCCATAAAGCCCAGATTTGGTGCCTGTGACTTCTGGCTTTTTCCAAAACTGAAATCATCTTTGAAAGGGAAGAGATTTCAAAGCATTGATGAGATTCAGGAAAATATCAAAGGGCAGCTGATGGTGATCAGGAGATTTGCGTGAGGTCCCAAGGTGCTTCCTTTGAAGGGGACTGAGGTGTACAATGTTTCTGGTATCTTCTTCAATAAATATCTTTTTCATATTACACAGCTGAATACCTCTGGACAAACCTCGTAGTTTGAATTCCTTGGCTCTGACTTCTTTCCCAGCAGAACTCAAGAACTGAGGTTGCTGAACTGGAGTAAACACCTGGTGCCGTTTTTCTGCCATTAACAAGCTCACTATAAGATTCATTATTTCAAAGCCATTATCACACAGGATTTTTAAACTTCAGAAACATAACATGTATAACAACAACAAAATCAGGCTTTAGAATGTGAAAGGAACCTAAATATTCTTCTTTACACTGTACATCTGTGGGGCGAAACTAAAAGCAAATATAAATGACTTACTAAGTAAACTGTCTAACATATGTACATCTAAATCCGTGGGTTTCTGTTGCTGCTGGGCTACTAACTGGCAAAATTCCTGAGCAGCTCGCACAATATCCGCTTTTCCATCTTCTGGGGACAGGACCTTCACTGCTGATTGGCAATTTAAAACTGGAGGAAAACACAAACAAGATATTAAAAAACATCTTCTTCCAGATATATTTCAAAATCAGTTTCAAGATACGTAAGTTCAGGCCAAAATAAAGGTATCATTCTTACTGTAAATTGGAATAATTTAAGCCCTTCAATTTCCATATCAAAATACACTTAAGCTACTTTCCTTTGAAAGAACACACACATCACATTTGTGTAGATATTTATATCCCACCTTCTTTTTTAAGTACTCAGAATGAAGAATGACCTTGTATCTGTGAATACATCCTCTAGCAAAAAGGAATTTTAAATATAGGGTATATCACAATTTCTGTAAGTCTGAAACAGCATCTACAATCATAGTATAGTTAGCATAACACAAGATTGAAGACAAAAAGACTAAAGACAAAAAATATATTTTAGTGTAACATGCAGTCTAGCACATTCCACCTTATCAAATTTATGATTCTATCAAAGCTATGTTACAACTGATAGGATTCTAGGTAAGTGACAGCAATGCCAAATTCCTGTCTATAGAGGTTCCTGCCAACCTCACATAAAAACCATTTCAATATTCCAGATCTAGCAATGTGTCTGTTCTTTGGATTCTCTTTTGAACTATTATAAAATCTGTCTGGAAGCCCTGGCTGGCGTAGCTCAGTGGATTGAGCGCGGGCTGCGAACCAAAGTGTCGCAGGTTCGATTCCCAGTCAGGCAACATATCTGAGTTGCAGGCCACGGCCCCCAGCAACCGCACATTGATGTTTCTCTCTCTCTCTCTTCCCCTCCCCCTTCCCTCTCTAAAAATAAATATATAAAATCTTTAAAAAAAAAAATCTGTCTGGCTTCTGGTGGCTTATGAGTTAAAATAAATAAAATCTTTAACATGTGTGCATTTTTTTTACATCTATGAAAGTCACTATTTATTTTTTCTGTTTATTGATTCAAGAGAGAAAGAGAGGGAGAGAAACATCGATGAGAGAGAGGAACACTGGTCAGCTGCCTCTTGCACGCTCCCAAACTGGGACCAAACCTGAAATCCAGGCACGGGCCCTGACCAGAATCAAACCTGCGACCAGTCAGTTTGCGGAACAACGCCCCAGCAAACTAAGCCACACAGGTCAGGGTGGAAGTCATGAGTTTATCTTTTCCTGAAAATTATTAACAAAATAAAGAAAGAAAAGGCTAAATCTGATGATTAAAGATGGTGACAACAAAGACTAACAGGGCAAAATGAATAAATGAGTGACAGAATTTGCCTTGGACCACAAACACATCTGCCTACGTTAGATATTCAATTCAACATTAAGCTTACCTTGATCATCTTTGTCATTACTATTTGCAAACTCTGTTGAGTACTTCGAACAATCTAAGCCCAGAAGTTCCTGCTGTTGTTTTAAAATTTCATCCATCAACCTGGAGTTATTTCTTTTGAAAATACCTTAATAAACAACAACAACAATTAAATCCCAACAAGAGTAATTTATCCTCTTCAATAATTAGTGTGTCTTTGCTACTAAAAAAATGCTGGGTCCAGAACTGAATGAATTCCAAATGAATTCATTAGCGATGACTAATTCTAAACTAGAATCTGAAATGAAATTATAACAAAACTTTGTTAGTACAAAAGCTTGGCTTCAGGCTAGTCAAAAACAAAAAACAAAACAGGGGTAAATACTTACTGTCAATATATGTATGATAGAAATTTAGACCTAGAAAGGAATTTTAAGAGATCATTTATTTGACAACTTTATTTACAGGTTAAGAAACTGAGACCCAATGTCCTTAAGGGTCTGGTCCAACAATTTATAAACTGCCACAATGGTCTAGAAACCACACTAACAAAATTTAGTGAATTCAACCAAATATGGAAATACACATTGTAAAATTGTTCTTGATCCTCCAACCATACACATAAAAGTTAAAACTTGAACTATCATGTCATTAAGAAGAATGAGGAAACTATGTGATATACATTTAATATAAAAAATATAAAGAGCTCTAACTAAAAACAAATAGCAGTATTGTGGCTATTTTCAGTGAAGCCAACTTTCTAGTGCCCACTGCCTTGTTGGCCTTCGCCAAGTGTTATTTTTTAGTCGCATATGATTTGAAAACAATTCAAAGATTAACTGGGGGAAAGAACATAGTAAATATATAAAAAATAGCACATAAGCTGCTGAATATGCTGTATATAAATGCCAACTTGATAGTAAATGTGTAATAGCAGCTTAGAGATAAAAGTCTCCTTTGATAGGGGAAAGGCTCTGTAAAATCAGCAAGACTTGAGAGAAGAAAATGGAAAGGACATTTAGATGGAGAACATGCTTAGGAAAAAACATGGAGGTCTCAGCAGATAGACAAATGCTGTTAGCACAAAGAATATGAGAAAAGGGGCAAGGGGATGGTCCTAATTGTTATTTCCTTTGTTCCATGGGTAATCAACAATTTCTGAGCAATGTGGAATGTGTGGAAATGTTTGTCTTCTGGAAAATTAACCTGGTAACAGTGCAGTGAAGGCCAGTCCGCAGACCACGGCAGTAGTCCATACACGATTTGATGGAGCAATGGAAAAGGTTTCATTACAAAGGAAAAATTGACAGAATGAAGAGCATGCTTTAATCAGAGGTGAGCACAGAAAATTCCATGACTTTAATCCTTGGTAACAGAAAACGTGAACATAGTTTTTTCTTTTTCCTTTTTTTAAGTAGGGAAATTCTACAGAGAACCGGTTTGAAGGAAAAGGTAAGTTTAGTTTTACACAGGTCATTACAGAACATTTAGGTAAGGGTTTATCGAAAAAGTGATTAAGAGACAGGAGGAGAGGATGTTCAAAAGAGGTCGTCATGTAAATACCACATGGGTAGAATCTCACCTGTTTTGTTTACTAGGGCTCATATAGTGCCTGATACAGAACAGACACTCAACAAATACCATTTGCTGAAAGACCAGGCAGAGACTGGCTGGGGGGTTGGGAAAACCTCTATAGGGTTAAGTGACTTTTCAGCTGGTCCCTAAAGAATTAGGAGAATTTTCTAGGTGTGAGGCTGGGAAGGTGATGTAAGAAAAAAATAGAGGTAGGAGATGTAGATAAGGAGATGACATTTGTGTGTCATTCTCCATAAGGTGAGAGCCACACACACACAAGAAATGATAAAATAAAATTCCCAAAGGTAAAGAAATACACATGGAGAAGAGCTAAGAATGTGGTTCCTTATAAAAGCTGGCACTCCTGAAGACTCCAAGGGGGAAAGATAAAGGAGAACACTTTGTAACACCCATGTCCAGAGCAGGATTCCACCCCCAACAGGCCCTGCCTCAGCCCTCTCTCTCTGTCCACATGCTCCTCCTCCTCTGATCCCACCTCCTCAAAGGATTTTAAAACCAAGCTGGACCAGGACAGGGTAAGATGAGTGAAGCAAAAATTTAAGAGAGTACCCAAAACTCAGGAATGAAGACAAGTAATAACAATACATTATCTTTAAAAACTAAAAATTAATGCAAAACATCCATGATAAACAAAATCTTCACATTTCGAGTAAAAACAGGATGAGCATTTGGGTTCTTTCATTTCCAGTTCATTCAAACATCTAATCCTACCCAAAAGTTCTGTAAGCACCTGAAAATGAACATATCTAAACCACGGCAGCCTACCTTTTTAAAGCTAGCTCTCAAGAACTTATATCACATCAAGTTAAAAAAAAGGGTGGAGTGAGATGAAATGTGAAACATGCGTTTAGGGACAAGGTCAGGAAGAGAATAGGCAATATGAGAGTAAATGATGGGACAATAGGTGATTTAAAACCGTAACTGCTATAAAGCTTTTATTAATCAACAGATAATAAAAACCACAGCCCCCATTCGGTTCTATTTCTAATACAGGCACCCCTACCTGCCCAGGCACCCCGGGCATCTTCCCTGCTCTCCGGAGATACCAGCGCACCACCCCGCCAGTGCCCCGTTAATGTGCAGAGCCCATTCGCTTGTCCACAGCAATGGTTCCTGTATCCGTTCCCTTATGTCCACCGTCCCTGCTGTTTCAAGCCATCATCTTCCTTATAATACTACAACCACCGTCTAATGTGTCTTTCCTGCCTGTTCTCATTTGTCACTAGATTGACTCCAAGATTAATCTTCCTTGGATAGATCTTCCATCCCAGCACATTCCAACTTGAATATCTTCGATGGCTCCCCACAAACTGAACGTGTGAAGAACTGAAGAACAAGCTGCTCGGGTCGGCGCTAACATTCCAGCCTATGCTTCCACACTTGGCGGGTGGAAATGATTTATATTTATGAAACAAATGAATCTTTCTAACTCTCTACAGTGCCACACTGCCAGCAAATTCGACTGCCTTATATTCCTTCAACAACACAGGGAGAGATGCCAACCTCCACTCTATTGTGTGACCTGCGTAGCCACACCGTACCATTACCACACTGTTACCGCATTATAACATTCTCCCAATTCCTCACAGGCCAGCAGAAACGTCACTCATCCTCAACCCCAGCCAGATGTGCCCCAGTCCTCCTGACAGACTTTCACACCCTCCAAAGACACACATTTTGTTCGAACTCTTTAACACACCAATATTCTACTTTTTATTACAGTTATAGCTGAACCCTCCTCCACAAAACTGTACTTAGTTGTGAACTGGTATCTTACTCATTTCTTTTCCCCCAGGGCACCTTCCACATAGCAGGAGTTCAATGTGTATTTAATAAACTGAATTATCTGTACACAAAATGTCACCTAAAAACAGGAAAACCTAAACGAACATGTCACCGAATGGAATTTTTAAAGTTTCCAGGAACCTCTCACAATAAAAGCAGACACTTCCTTATTGCACACAGGCAGAAATTCTGTTAAATAAGAATATTACACAGAGACGTAGTTACAAAGACTTTCATAAAGTTATGTTAAACAGAGCCTTTGTCCTAACTGATTTGGATAAAGAAATGAAATTGTTAAAAAGAGGACAGTTTCTGAGATACGCTAAAGGCACAGATGAGACAGCTATCAGCAAGACTCCTGATGCCTCACAGCCTGACCCCATCCAGAAATCTGACTGTGCTCTATGGTACTTACTGATCTCAGGGACACATGGACGAGTTATTAACTCGTCTTAAAATATTCTTCAGATTCAAGTCTACATGCCCACTTCCCATGATACACAAGAAATGCAGCAAGATATAAGCATGCCTCTGATTAAGATAGGCAATTCCTCTAGCAATATCCTAGTTTATGTGGAGATTCTTTTTCTCCTATCAAAATCTATCTTGTTTGCTTTCATAGAATCTAAAATAAAGCCAAAATAATGTAAGTAAAGAAATAACGCAAAATCATTTTATGTAAAAGGAGAATGAGACAAATTCATTCAGGAATAACAGATCTAAGAGATAAACATTTGCAAACACTCAAATTTTGGAAAAAAAAACAAAAAACTGGATTTTACAGAATTATATAGTAGTAATAAGAGGCAAGAGTTATTTCATGTCATTCTTTTACAGATGAGGAACTCAGACCCCGAAAGGTCAAGCAACTGTCCTTGATCAGAAGTCTAGTAATTTGGCATGAAATCCAGGTCTCCAGGTTTCTAATTATTTAGTTCAGTAACTATTCCTGACACTGAAAAGGAATGATAAACCCACTTTACTATTAAATTTCAAATTCTTCTCTCAAAAAAGTGAAACTCCACAAAATAGAACTGAAGTTTTTACAAATGAACATTATCTTTGGAAAAAACCTAGGACTAGAGTTTGTTTAAATTCTTTAAGAATGACTCGGAATATAAAATAAGTTTTTGCAATAAAATTTAAAGAATTTGACATTGTTTTCTTATTCTACAAGTGTATCTCATGTGCTTTCTGTCAATTTTCCAAGTATAAACTACACAAAGTGTGTGTGTGTGTGTGTATAAAAGATACATGGAAGAGCCCAAAATTTTACAATTTCCATGAAAAAATAAAACATTAGGCTAGGAAAGCTGGATCTCAGAAAGACTATAATGTTTTTGGTATTTCTTAATAAACATTAACTATGTACTTTGAGGACCAATTCTACTTCTTTTTATGTTCCAAGAAATACCTGTTTTACATTCTAATGCTAAAAACTATGTAAGATGTTCAAAGTTTAGACAATAAGGACTGTCCCCCCACCCATCCATCCACCTTGCCATTATAACACAACTACTTGCAGTTTTAATATTTCCTAGCCTTCGTCCACATGCGTGTATAACCCTGGAATACATGATCATGCCATTCTGTATCCTGCTTTCACTTGTATGACATGTGTCCTTCCTTGGGGCTAATCTCATGATTATTTAAATAATTACACTATTTAACAAAAAAGGTCTGATTTTGTTCAACTCCTAAAATACAAAAATCAATACTTCCCCAGCTAAAATCATTGCCATTATAGGTACTGCAATGCCCTTGGCA